CCTGGATCAGCCACAGCGGGTGCCTCTGCCGGCAGAAGCGGGGCTCCCCCGGCTGGCCCCCACACCTCTATGCGTTGTTTCTGCAGATGGTTTTATAATCGCCTCCAGGTGCACCCTCCTGGACTTCTTCCAGTCCTTCCCAGTCTTGACCCCCGCCCCCCAGATGTTTGACTTTTGGCATGGAGGCATGGTAGCTTTCCCTGTATAATTCACTAAGTCACTTTACAGCACCTTACACAAAGGGCTGAGGAAATGCACAAACAGGCTCAGTAAGAAAGAGCCACCTCATCCTGGGCATTAGTGCCGGACGGGAGCAGAGGCCCAGGAGACACTTTAAGGCCTCGATAGAGTAGGCCAGGTTTTCTAAATCTCAGGGTACAAAGCTTACACTGCTAAGGATCCTAGGGTGGTTTCTGGGAGTCCATACTAATAATCTTCTTTCCCAAGCTGCCTTGCCTCTATCATGGTTAGTATTTAAAAAAACAAAAACAGACAAACAAAAACCCAACCTTCAAAAGACACATGTGAAAGCCAAACGCAGTTCTCAGTTGCTGAGCAATCAGCTTCAGGCACTGCTGGATCCAGGGGCTTAAAATGATATCATGGGAAACTGTCCCTCTCGACCCTGGCACCACTGTCCTCTCTCAGTTGACTTTAATCTGGGGGCCTCTTCCCATGCACTGGTAATCCAGATTTACTTTGAGTCTCTGGGCAATCCTGTGGAAAGAAAGCTGCTTCTTCCCAAGGAGAACAGAAGTCTTGGAACTGACTCTCACTGTCCAGAGTTGGGTGGTGAGCCCACACCTGGAACTGAGATGAATTTGGGGTCAGTTAGAGGAAGGACATACCCCCAAAGGAAACTCTGGGCTGTCGTTACTTGAAGAAAGAGAAATAGATGCCAGGCAGCCAACACACTATTCACAAGAGCCATAACATGAGAACAAGGTCAGGGCCCCAACTCTTAAACCCAAGGCGCCAGCCCAGGGCACTGAGTGGGACAGTCAGCTGGTGCATGCGGGTGACCAGTGACAAGGAGAGCAGCCACCCCAGAGTGTGGGAAGTGGGTTCTAGGGGGGGTGGGCCAAGCATGGTGGTGGTCAGCATACAGCTCTAAAGAAACTCTTTCTTCCCATCTCTAACTCCAGGTTCCGGGTGGGGGAGGGGGTCTCAACATGCTCGAGGTCTCCCACCCCGATAACAAGAACAGTGAAACTTCTCTCCCCTTCTCAGCCACTCTTCGTCTCGCCTGCTTTTCCCAGCCAGACTTCTGGGGGGAAAAATTGCTTCACCTCCCACTTGCTTCTCCACACAGAACAGTGGCCTTAGAAAGAGCAATCATGGCCGCCCCGGTGAGGATCCACAGTCCATGCCTGCCAGGCACGCCCAGGCCACCTCTTCTCCCTGCTCTTCTTGCAGTCTCACCTCAAGGGCGCCTCTCCTTTTCTTCCAGAAAGTCTTCCCCATCTGCCCCCGTCCCACACATACATATGCGGGCCCCGAACTCACCTCTGCCACAGAGCCTACGAAACTGTACTGTGTTTATCTGTTTTCTCACCTGTCTCCCTTCCAAATGTTGAGCTCCCTGAGGGCAGGAGCTGTGTCCTCATCATCCAGCTAGGAGGCCCTGACCTGTGGGGCGGGGGGAGAGGGAGGGAAAGGGGCCACCTATCGGCCGCTCCCTGCGCTTCCGCTCCCTGCCCTTCCTGGTCTGACTTGTTCTTTCTGAAACCATTCGGGTTTTTTTGTTTTGTTTTGTTTTGTTTAAGGTTCAAGGGTTGTTTTTTTTTTTTTTTTTTTAATTTATTTATTTGTCAGAGAGAGAGAGAGCACAAGCAGGGGGAGCAGCGGAAGGAGAGGGAGAAGCAAGCTCCCTGCCGAGCAAGGAGCCTGATGCGAGACTCGATCCCAGGACCCTGAGATCATGACCTGAGCCAAAGGCAGATGCTTAACAACTAAGCCACCCAGGTGTCCCTCTGAAACCATTCCTTGAGGACTCTGGCCCCTCACTGTGTCTGTCTGCCCCATCCCACCAGCCTGCACTGATTTCTGAAACCAAATTTACGTGTGCAACAAACAATTTTCCAAACCTACAGAGAAGTAGAAAGAACAATCTGCGAGTTGCGTTATTTTTATAAGGGTATATAGAACATGAGACCCAGCAGCATTTCGAGCCTGGAATATGTTCTCTTGGAAAACAAGTAGGACACTTGTGCATTTTTGCATTTGTCATAAGACTCTAGATGGAGGCTATAACCTAAAGAATATGGGAATTTAAATTGCCAGATTGGTAAGAGTGCTGAGCTTGGTGCGTTCAGGTTCAGGTTGTCCACTCTTCATAGCTGTGTGACATTAGGCAGGTAACTTAACCTCTCTGTGCCCCCATTTCCTCATCTGTGAAAAGGGGAAAATAATGCTTTACCTTGGAGAGTTGTTGGGAAGAGTAAATGGGTAAAAGTACGTATAGGGGCTAAATCCAAGAACGTGCCCCTTGAAATGTGGCTGGTAGGTTTTGGCTGAGGAAGGGACAAAGGAGCAGAGGTTCTGAGTACCCTTACATTCTCACTTCCTTCTCGTAGCCAGGAAATTTCAGTAGCCGGTAGAATTTCTTGAAGGGAAATGTTCAATTCCAGGAGGTAGAGCCTTCTCTTTTCTAAGCCTTCCCTGGAGTCCTGTAACCCTCAACCACTCACTCTGCACAACCACCCTGGATATGAAATCCTGACTAGAAGTCGCTCTGCTGGAAAAGAACCCTTCCTGCTTCTTTCCTAGTTTCTCTTGGCAGTTCCTAGAAGCAAGGAGTCGTGAGCATGCATCTCCTCCGTGTGCCCCAGGATGGCCTGGCAGGGCGGGAGCAAGCACTGGGACCAGACTACCCTAGAGACATCCCAGCTGCTGGTGGCCTGACCGGGTCGAACCAGGTCCTGACCCAGCCTTGGGGCTCATGGGTTCAGGGCTAACAGAAACCCCTTTTTGGTTTCAACTCTCATTATCTAAAATCAGTACTAAATGCGGGTGTTTTATTTCTGGCCTTGGGAAGCAAAGAGGAAGGAATGGGGCGGAACCCACTTTCACTGACTGTGGACTGAGTAGGGTCCCAAAGCGACTGTGAGCACTGGGGGCATTGGGGCATGGGAGGGCTCCAGCTGCCCTTGCAGAGAGGGAGGCGTTGTCCCCAGGGTATCCTGGGAGTTTCATCGTTTGAGTGACAGAAGACTTGTTGTCAACCTACTATCATCTGCGACCTTCTCCCAAATGCCAGAGTACCTCTTAGGTCTTGTCTTTCCTAAATAACAAAACGAAACGAAAAAAAAAACACAGAATTTCACTGCAGAAAGCTCTCGTGAGAACAACATGACTCCACACCCAGGCAAGGGGACACAAGAAAGTCACTGTCAGCACTCAGATAATCAATGGCTTGTAGGGAAAACCAGATTTTTGCTCTGGCCAATCAACAAACTGTTGATTTTATTTCTTCCAACGCATTTTGTACCGAGTGGAGGTGTGACCCCGCAGAGCGTAGAACCCGAGGACCACTGAACCCTACCCTTGTGGCATTGTCCGAGCCCTACTGTCCCATCCACGGTCGGCTCAGGTTCCCAGACTCTACCATTTCATAGAATAGCAACTGTTTCTTGAAGGAACCCCCACTTTACTAACATGGGGCTCTCAAGTCCTTAAGAGAAGCTGGATTAGGCTATAACTGTAAAAAGCCCCAGGTAGGTAGCAGTCAAATGAATTGACGAGTTTTGCTAAAGCAGCAAACTCCTCTTTTTTCTTTTTTTTATTATGTTAATCCCCATACATTACATCATTAGTTTTTTTTTTTT